CAGCTGCGACTCCAGCGCGCGGCACTTGCTCTCCAGCTCCCGGGACGCCTCCTCTGGAAAAGGCGGGAGAGAGAGAGGTGATGGTGCAGACAGTTCACCCCTCAACCGGACGAAGCCCTGCGACTCCCCAGCTACATGCACGTCCGGCCCGCTCTCTCGCTCTCCCCAAGGCCTTCCTTTTTCTTCCTCAGGCCTTTCGCCCATCCTGCCCTCTGCTTGCCCCCCGCCCCCTCTAATTCTTGAGGTTTCAGTTTAAATGCAAAACTGTCCTTATTCATTTATTTGCCCCACAAGTATTCGTCGAGCCTTTACTATGTGCGCTGTGTCAGGCACAGGGGCTACTAGCGGTGGATAAGAAAAGATCATAGCCCAGCCCGCCTGGCTCTAGTGGTTTGAGCATCGACCTATGAACCAGGAGGTCACGGTTCGATTCCCGCCAGGGCACATGCCTGGGGTTATGGGCTAGAAGCTAGATCCTCAGTGTGGGGCATGCAGGAGGCAGCCGATCACTGATTCTCTGTCATCATGGATGTTTCTGTCTTTCTCTCCCTCTTCCTTCCTCCCTGAATCTGTCACTCCTTTCCTCTCTGAAATCAATAAAAATATTTAAAAAAATAAAGAAAACATCATAGGCAAGCATAGTGGGAGAGGTATAGGACATAATTACAAATATGAGATTCATACATGATGTGCAGGAAGTGACATGGGCTAGGATCTGAAAGATGAGTGGGAGTTAGGTACACAGTGCAGAGAGGAGAGGCAGAGCTGGGGGCAGAGGAACAGCTTGTACAAAGGCCCTGTGGCAGCAGAGACCTGCAAAAGACGAGGACTGTTAGGACAGGAAGGGTGGGCAGGAAAGGGGAGTGAGTGAGCCAGAACCTGGCTTCATGGAGAGAGTTTGTTACATTTTCTAATATTTTGTTGACTTTATTGCTTGCCTTTGCCTACTGCATTGGGTTTCAACCCAGGATATCCAATCTTTTAGTGGGGAACCATCCAGTGAGCTTTAGAAAAGTTTCCAGGGCCCTGCCAAAGACCAGTCGAATCAGAACCTCTGGGCTGGAACCTGGGAAGTGGCACTCCTTAAATCTTCCCAGGTGGTTCTAATGGACCTTCCGAGTTGAGGACCCCTGCTTCCTGGATTATTAGCTTCATTTCAGCTGGAACAGTATCTCAGGATTGGCACATGTGAGTGAGTGTAGGGACATAGATTGATGACAGCGACAGAAAAGTAGGTAAAAGGCGACTCTGGAATGGATATGAAAGCACTTGGTGATTTTCACAGAAAAAGAGGACCCAGAGAGCTCTCAAGCCCACTGAGGGAGAAGATAAAAACTAGGACACTGGGGCAGTGCCTTGAGCCCAGGTGACCCCCAAAGCTCTTCCAGATAAGGGTAGTAGGTGGAATGAAAGCTGCTGTTGTCACAGAGCTACCCTTACTGGTGCCTGGGATGTGTGACCCTGCCACCAAGCACCTAGGCACCAAGAGGTTGCCCATAGTTGCCACTTAAAGAAATGGGCAGAATTCCTGCAAATCTGTAACTGCTTAGATCTGTATGCACACATACCCAAAACAATCTGTAAAGCTCCTAACATTTTGCCTTAAATTTCCAGCTTCCCCACCCCTAACTCTTGATCTATAAGCAGCACATCAATATGCAGGGAGGCCATTCTTACTCTCTCCTGGCTAAGAAAGACTACTTCTGTGGTTCATTTTTAGTTAAGCATTTACGGAATCCCTATCCATGTCAGGTAATGTGTCCTGTACTTTGAGACGATAGGTATTACCCAGGCCCTGATTCTCAGAGGTCATACAATCAGTGCTTAAGATACCAACAATGCAACCCTTTCCATTTTTTAATGTTTTTAAAATACATTTTTATTGATTTCAGAGAGGAAGGGAGAGGGAGAGAGAGATAGAAACTTCAATCATGAGAATCATTGACTGGTTGCTTCCATCACGTCCCCTGCTGGGGATGGAGCTGGAAACTGGGCATGTGCCCTGACCACATCCAGCCATGACCTGGTTCTGAGGTCAATGTTCAACGTTCATAGGGAGCCACACCGGCCAGGCCCCCTTCCATTAAAGAAAAAGTTTTATTTCTGATAAAAATGACAACATAAAATTTTTATCATCCTATCAATTTTTAAGTGTACAGTTCAGTAGTGTTAAGCATACAGATCTCTAGAACTTTTTTATCTTGCAAAACTGAAACTCTATACCCCAAGAGTACCGTCTCCCCACCTCACCTGCCATTTAATGGGTGAACTAATAACCTGTAAAAAAAAAAATCTTTTAGTGGGGAAATATTTGGGGCCGGGGAATTGTAAAATGATTTGCTAATGTGTCTTGTGTCAACTTTCTCTTCTGAACTCAGTTCCTTGAAGTCAAAGACCCCATATTGTCATTGTGTTGCATCTTGACACTCAGTATCTTGGAGGATACGGACACTGATCATGAGAATCATTTGTGCAAGGATGGGAAGGATGGGGGAGGTAGGGAGGAATTAATTCAGCCCGGACCTACTGGACACCATCTCCTACCTGCTTTCATTTTCCTACTTTCGCCAGGAACACAGATACAGGGCACTGTGCATGGTGGTGCAGGCTGTTCGCTGCACACGTGGGGCTGACATCCTGCGCTGAGCTCAACCAGTCTGCACTGGGACATGGGAGGCTTGGTGGGGAAAGGTGACCTGTTGGGCCCCATGGCACCTCCCCACCAGTCATCCTTCTCTTACCTTGCTGGTGAGATTGGGCCTCTCTCATCTCCAGGTCACGGGTCAGTTCTGGGGGGAAGAGAAAAGAAAAGGCAGGTGTGTGTGTGTGTGTGTGTGTGTGTGTGTGTGTGATATCAGGCAATCACAGCTCAGTGAAAGTGGCGATAAGGATCCTTAGAAACCATCCAAATCACACCCTCCACACCCACTGCACTAAGCCCAGCTCAGGGAAGAGATGAAGAGAGGTACCAAGGCAGAGCCTGAGCCTGATCTACCTCATCCAAAGCCCAGAGGTCCTTCGGTGCAAGCTTTGTGGCTTAGATTTGGGAGTTAGTTCAACCCTGGTGGGATTGAGGAGCCTGGCTTGCTTTTGGGGCTGGGAAGGATTTGCTTCTATCCAGGGATGATGTACAAATATTTTACATGCCACCCAATCAGAGTTGGTCTGAAGGACCCCCTACTGCGCAGGGCACAGACTTTTTTTTATAGCAAAGGTGAAAATTTACTGTGAACGAAGCACAGACTCCCACGTGGGTAGGAGGAAAGAGTCCCGGGCACAGACTCTTTAGTGTTTAGTTGGTGGATCCAGGAAGCCTGGAGTGTCCCGGCTGGACTGCTTGGGGCCACTGGAGGGGGATTCAAGGTAATGGCTCTTTACCAACAGGACATGTGTCTCACTGTTTCCACAGCCAGTACTGCTGTGCCAATGTTAGTTTTTGAACATTAGCCCTGCCCCTTTCCCAGCCCTGTTCTGCCAGGCTCCACATGGCAGGGAGAGGGGCTTCAAGGAGGACAGCGCCACCTGGTGATGAAAAGCCTGCAGGGCTCTTGGAACCACGTGTGTGGCTTGGCGCTGAGGGGGTCGGGCAGCCAAGGGGCCCGCCAAGGGTGCTACTAGAGGGGCAGTTTCCTCCTGGGCACTGCTGGAAGCCCAGCCATCCCTCTCCACCTGCCTGTCTTCCCAGCCCCATTCCTTACATTCCAGAAAGCCCTATCCCTCAGCAAGCTGAGTTTGACCATTTCTCTAGCCCTATCCCAACTCCCCGACTCCCCCAGTAGCTGGGAAAGGGACACGAGGGAACTGGGGACCTACAGCTGCCCATGGGAGGGCACCTTCTCAAGAGCACCTCTGTGTACCCGTGAACCTGGGGGGTAAGAGAAGGTTGCACATCTCTGGGGCCACCTCTGCAGCAGCACCTACAGAGACAGCCTTGTGGGTCCTCTGCTGCCCCTCCTCTCTGCCCTCACCCAGCTCTTCTAGAGAAAGAGGGGCTTTGCTGGAGGTGCCTTCCCTGGGGAGGCCAGCTGTTGCTAGGAGACAGAGAGCTGGGGTGCCTGGGCTTTTTGCTATGACCTGAGCCTGAACCTCCTCCCTGGGGCCCCTGGAAGGACTCTGATGCCTCCATCCCCAGGGCTTCCTGGGGCCAAGTTGGCCCCTCCTCCAAGGGCCCTGCATTGTAGCTCAAGGGAACCTGGAGTAGGCTCAGGGACACAGCCCAGGGTTTTGGCTCTGCCGCTCACTCCCGGTGGACTGGTTTCTCTTCGGCCCTTAACCACGGGAATTGGGGGAGGGGAGATGAATCTCAGCTGGCCCCCTGTCCTTATCCATCAATTCTCCCTGTTCATCTTCTGGTCAGAGTTCCCTCAGTTTAGATGAGCATGCTGTGAGGTCAGATACACTGTGACCTTGGGCCCAGTTTTCTCATCTGTAAAATGGGGACAAAATTGCTCCTGCCTCACAAGGGGCTGGTGCTGGGACTGAGGGAAACGGAGGGTTGAATATGTGGGGGTAGTTCCCTTTATAATCCCGCTGCCCTGCCACGTAGAACACACTCATCCCCCTCTCAAGCCCTTCTTTCTGCGTCTTCATCTCTTTTTGGCAGGCTCTCCCAGTACTCTGCCTCCTCGGTTCCTACACTGGCCCCGCCATCGCCCATCCCCTTCCGGGCCCTCTAGAACAAGCATGTCAAACTCGAGGCCTAATGAGGCATGCAGCCTGCTGGCCATGAGTTTGACAGGCTGGCTCTAGAATCTCCTTTAAAAAACGACAACACGAAACAAACAAAAAATCTCTTTTGTTCTGCTCTCTTCTCCTCACTCCCCCACCCCTTGGAGGGAGGGCCTTACTCAGTCATTTCAGCCCCCAGAGTGGCTGCCCCAGGCCAGCTCAGAGTTATTTTTATCTCCTTAATCAATAACCTAGAGGCTGTGGGCCCACACCCATCTGAGAAGGATGATGGGGGCCGAGGGCACTCTGTTCCTGCCTGTTATACTTTCTTGGATCCTGGCCTGTGTCCTGAGTGGAAGGACTCAGGTCTTTAGAATTAGGGCAAAGCAAAAAGAAACTAGAGGAAGAGCTGTAGGGTCTGAGGGTTGGCTCATCTCAATTTTCCTTTAATGTTATTGCAACGAAAAGGGGCATCAGGCAGGGGTGAGTCAGTGTGGGGCTGGCGCTGCTGCCACGCAGGCTTTGGGGGAGACTGCGGGGAGCCTGGCCTTGGACTGTGGCAGCTGAACCTGCACATGGAGTGGGAGGAGGCCGTGGGGGCGGAGAGTCAGGATGACGGTTTTTCCTGACAAAGTGAGAAGCCAGGCAGGTGGCTCTGGGCCTCAGTTTCCCTCTAGGGAATGGAGAACCTCCCATGAGCGCGGGCTGGAGGGGAGAGAGAAGTTTTGGGGAAGGGATATGCAGAAAGCTTTAGAGGCACAAAGGATGGGAAGTCTAGAGATCTGGGTTCTAATCCTAGTCCTGCCATTAACATACTGTGTGATTCTCTCTCTCTGGGCCTCAGTTTACCTACTTGTACAATGAGGAGGTTGGCCTGTTCCAGCTGAGACATCCTGGCTCTGAAGGCTGGACTTGGAGACTCGGCCTGGGTGAGCACTTGGGCCAGAGCCAGGCCTCGGAGAGGGCCAGGTCAGGCCTGGGATTTAGCTTTGTCTTCAGTGCTTTCCTCTGTCCTGCTCACAAATCCAATCTGTCGCCAAGTCCTTTCCTTCCATCTGCTTCCCACTGGCCTCCCCTTCCGTTCCCCCTTCATCTCTCCTGTGGACCCTTTCATCAGCCCCATCACTAGTCTCCTGTGCCCCTCTCCCGCCAGTTCATCTTCCACACAACTGTTGAGTTTCATAATGCAGCATGATGCAGCCCAAACCTTCAGTGACTCCCGCCACGCAGGACAGGCCACACTTCTTAGCTGTATTTGTCAAGATCCTCCGTGATCTGACTCCAGCCCTATTTCTCACCAGGCTCATTTAAGCTCAGCTTTATCCATGAAATAGAACTTTTCCTAAGTTTCCTACCTATGGACTTTGCCATGCCCTTCAATTGGAATGTTCCCTCACCCCTATTCCCCCGTAACAGCTCAGCACGTCCACATCTTACTCAGCCTGCGGGAGTGGAAATGCTTCCCTTCTCTGGGGCCTGGGATGCCTGTCTCCTCCTTTATCACCCGCCCCCTCAAGCTGGACATGGTCTTGCCAAAGAACTCCCATCAGCCCTCTTCATTTTCTGTTACCTTAATACTCTCCCTGTGTGTGTGTGTCTCCCCAACGAGACTGAGGTTTCTTAGGGCTGGAAGGTGCTTGATGAAGACTTATTAGAAGGGACAGGAAATTCCCAGGAATGGTTCCCAGATTTGCCTCTGCTACCGAATCAGAGCCCTTTGCCCTGAAGACTCGGTTTCCTCATTGAGAAAAACGGGTGGTGAACACCCACCTGGTAGGACTGTTCTGAAGCTTGTGGGGCTCACAGTGGACACCCCATCAGAGACAATGACTGTGATGATGACAGTTGCCCCTGCTGCCCTACCCCCCGCCCCCCACTCCCCGTCGCAGCCATCCCTCCTGGCCTCACCTGAGCAGCGTTTCTGCAGCCTCAGGATTTCCAGGTGCAGGTCTCGCAGCAGGGCCATCTGCTCTTTTTTCAGGAAGCTGATGTGGCGTTGCACGCTCTGGATCTGATGCTCTAGGGACACGGTATCCATGGCAACCCAGGCCTGGGACTCACCTGGGGAGGATGACAAGGTGAACACACATCTTCTGGGCCCATCTGCCCTGCCCACCCTCAGATCCCTCACAGTCGCCTCCAATCTGGGGTCCTGTGGTCACCAGGCAGACAGCTTTGCCACGGAGGCCATTTCCCCTGTATTTACTCACCAAAGCTTCATAAACAAGTGGGGGTGTTGGCAGGGAAGTATAGTTATTCCCATTTAGCAGATGAAGAAACAGAGACCCAGAGGGAAATGGCCTCACTCCCTGCCCCAAGGCCTCTTCTACTGCTCAGGGAGGAAAACCAATGGAGCATCAGTTAGTAAAGAGAAACAGAGACGGGCTCTAGCTGCTTCTTAAGCAGCTGTGTGACTTCGGGCAAATCCTCTCCCTCCCTGGGCTCTTTGGTTTTCTCATAGAAGAACCCAGAGGTCTCTTCCCGCTCCGCCATCCTGCAAGCATTCCAGCTCAAGGGTGACCACCGCCTGGCAGGGCAGCAGGCACCCTCTCCCAGTTCAACTCCATTTCTCTGACTTAACCTCAAGCAGGGCTCTGGGCTCTTCCAGGTCAGAGGAAGATTTGATGAGTGTTTCACCAACACTGACTGACTCTGTGGGCTGAAGGCAGGTGGTCGAGTCCCCTTTAAGAGAGGAATAGGAATAAGGAGACCCATGTGGTGAATCCACCGTGGAACTTAAGAAACTGATGGGAGGCGGAGATTTGCATCCCTGAGTCCTGTGGATGGCCTGGCCTTTCAGCTCTCCTGCTGGCTCCCCCCCTTTCCCAGGGAGTCTCTCTTGTGGTGATGAGCATCCTGAGAAGCTGAGGCAAAGGATAGTGGAGGCCGTGACCTCCGGAGGGCTCAGAGAGCAGGCCTTCTCTGCCAGGGCCTCCCCAAGCTTTGAAGGACCTGCCCCCACCTGTCCCAGGAATTCCCTGGGCAGTGGAGGGGGAGGGTAGCTGACGGAGGGCTCTGGTCAGCAAATGCTCCCCTCCAGACTGGCTTCCATGTAAGTCTCTGCAACTCCACAATTTTATTTGTAGGGTCACACCAAGCACGCCCACCGGACACCCTCACATTCATAGGCTTCTCTTTCTGGGCTCCCTTCCCTCGTACCCGCCTGACCCCCCTGGTCCAACCAAATAGGCCGATCACTTCAGTAGAGGCGGCCCTTTGGCCTGTGAGGACCACTGGCTACGTTTACTGACCATCTGCTATGTTTAAACAACTTTATACACATTATCTCACTTCTGCCAACCACTCCTCAGTAGGTATGACCCCACCCATTTCACAAACAGACTCAGAGCTGAAGTGGCCCGGGCCAGTTCACATGGCCAGAAGGTGGTGGCAGGCCCAATTCTCCAACCAAATCTTTTGAATCCAAAGAAGATTCTCAATATTTATACTGAGGACAATGTTGGGTTTGAATCCTGGGTCTTTCAGTTACCTGATGTATGATTTAGAGCAAGAAAGTTAACCTCTCTAAAGCCCCCCCGCCCCCCGCACCCCCGGCTAAAATGAGGCTACTAATAGTAACAATGAGGATTAAGTGAGATTAAAAAGGTTAGAACACTCATCACAGGACCGGGGTCAGTCAGTGCTACATCCCTTCTCGTTTCTGTTAAATGTGTGAGGAGGTTAATCCCTGTCTTGATTTGCCTATCTCTCCATCATTCATTCATTCAGTGAGTTACTATTGCCAACTGCTGTGCTGGTTATGGAAAAACACTGATGAACAAAACAAAATCCTTGCCCTCATGAGCTCCCAGGGCTAAGGGGAGAGAATCGAACAAACAAAAAGTGCATCACACAAATAATAACACAAGTAAGTTTACAATGACAATTTGTGATAGGTGCCATGAAAGAAACCTACAGCGTAATATGAAAGAAGGTCTCTTTGAGAAAGTGATTTTAGAACGAGACCTCATGGCAGACAGAATTCTAAATGGGTCCAGTATTCCCAGGCCCAGGTGGTCATGCTCTCCTACATTATCTCCCCGCCTTGGGTGTGGGTGGGACTGAGAATATGAGATTTCACTCCTGCGATTAGGTTTATGACAGAGGGGAAAGGATTGTGCAGGTGTAATTAAGGTCTCCAATCAGTTGCTCTGAGTTAATCAAAAGGAAGATTATTCTGGGCGGGTGAGTTCAAAGGGCCGTTACTGAATGAAGGAAGAGATCTGAAGCCTGAGAAAAACTCTGCTGCTGGCCTTGAAGAGGTAACCGGCCGCGCTGTGGGTGATAACGGAGGAAACCACATCAAGGACCTGAGAGAGGCACTAGCAGCTGGGGATGGCCCCAGGCTGACGGCTACCAAGACCAAGGGGCTCCAGTCCTACAACCGCAAGGAACTAAATTCTGCTAACAACCTAAGTGATCTTAGAACTGGCTCTCTCCCTCGTTGAGCCTTCAGATGAGGATGTAGCTGGTCTTAATTTCAGCCTTGTGAGATCTTGAGCAGAGGGCCTAGGTCAGCCGTGGGCAAACTACGGCCCGCGGGCCGGATCCAGCCCGTTTGAAATGAATAAAACTATTGAAAAAAAAGACCGTACCCTTTTATGTAATGATGTTTACTTTGAATTTATATTAGTTCACACAAACACTCCATCCATTCTTTTGTTCCGGCCCTCCGGTCCAGTTTAAGAACCCACTGTGGCCCTCGAGTCAAAAAGTTTGCCCACCCCTGACCTAGGTTAAAACTGCCAGTCTCCTGATCCTTGGAGACTGAGAAAATCCATGTGTTGTTTTAAGCCACTTAGTTTGTGGTGATTTGTTATGCAGCAGCAGAAAAGTGAGAGACTTGAAGGAGGGGTAGGAGTTAGTCAGAAGAGTAC